GCACTTGTTGCTAGTAGCTTCTTGTTGCTAGTAGCGATGGCCTCCAACTAGGGTAACCTAATAGCCATGGCCTCCACCGTGCGTAACTTAATTTGCCTATTAGATCGGCCAGATCTCAGCTGCAGGATGTACGCTCGGACAGAGTCCACCATCATTGCTTTGGACGCCATGCAGTGCCTCCGCTCAGATACCATCGGTTTTTTCTTAGGCTCGATGGCCTCGTTTCTGCCAGTCCTATTGATCCAAACCACAGCAACAGCGCAATGGCGAAAAGCTTGATACAGGTCAAGTAGCCTTCCAGTTCAACTCAGGGGTAATTTAGCCAACCACCCAGGTTTGACTAAGAAGATAAGATGAATCTATGATAAGTGATACTATGATATGAAAAGTAGCTTCAGCTATACTGTAAAATGTCAATGAAATGTTTTTGGCGCGGGGGAGTGGTGGCGAGCTGTTTTTATTTTTTTTTTTTCGAATCAATTTCTTCCTGGGTCCTCTCAGGTTGATTCATTGCTGTGACAGACTTGTGACTTGTGGTAATTAGTGATAAACTGTAGGGATCATGGAAATCAGTTGCTTCATAGCATGCTGTGCACTATGCAGCGATGCAAACTGACAGGCCCCAACTCAGAAGGTTTGTTTGGTTAATCGTTGGTTGTCGACCAACTCTGTCTAGATATTCTTCAAGTGGAGGGTTAGTGTTAGGCTCTTGTGGCATTACCAAACAAAAGCCGACAAAAGCCATTCAGCACCACGACATACCACGACCGCCATGTCTCTTCCAATTCGTTGCGGGTCTCATTCCCGCCGTTTCGCCCGGCGAACACCCACGGCGGAGGTTCCACTCGGTGGCGGAGTCCTTCAGCGCGCACATGGAGCTTCTGAGGCACCGGAAGCCGCTCTGAAGCTTCCATCCGCGAGGGTTGCAAGGGATCCACTAAATCGATGTATTAGGGAGTGTCACTAGCAGCTTGACTGCCAAGCTACTTAATGGGGAACGATGTGAGCAGCTTGACGCGCCAGTTCGTCCAAGTTTGAGGTGTTAATGCGCACGGATTGCGCTTGATGCGTTCGATCCTACGGCGTAGGACCTACGCTGAAGAGTTTGTCCACGCCATGAATGAGCTGGCTGGAAACTTCACAGATGATGAGGACCGGAGCAGAAACTGTCCATCATTGGTCCATGATTTTGCCGGTTGAAAATGGTCTCCTGTTCACTTTTTGAGGCTTTGGGGTGCTTCGCAGAAAAACTGTGAAAACAGAGACGTCCCCAAAAACGAGGCTCGGAGGTGAGACAACTGGCCCAAAGCCTGGTCCAACAGAAGTGGTGAAGTGGTTCTTGCTACTCCCGACCGATACCGATCACCATCTTCCCGATTTTCCCTTTGCCCTCACGATCCGTCGGGCCCACGAAACGCCTGGATCTGCTCGAAACGTCCATCGGTCGGCGCCGAACCTTCAGGAAGACGATGCCGAACTTTCGGACCTCTTCTATTCCATGCAGGCTTTCGGATTTGGCTGTGACACATACAGAAAAGCGACATGGGTCAGCTCGAAGAGCTTGTTTTAGGTCAGCTGATTACCGCACCCTCCGTCGTGACGCTCATAAATTGAAGCTGCAGATTTCAGTGCACAGGTTGATCTTGTGCATGAGCCCCAGCAGGGCCTAAGCATCATGAGCCACAGGAACCTCCCTACAGCAGGCGCAGCAATTTCAAGGGGTTCAGGTGAAGTTCTTCTGACTCTAGAGGAGAAGTCAGAACCCCAGCAAAACAAGGCAGATCAAGGCAGTAAACATAACAAAAAGAGATGCACCTGGCGTTTGCGCTTCCAGGCCATTGAAACGCTTCCAGGAAATCGATCCTTCGCAGAGGCCGGTGGTCCATTTTCTTCCTCGCTTTCTGAGCGGGTAGTGAGTGGAAGAAGGAGGACATAGGCCAAATTAGGCCGCATGGGCCCATAGGAGAGGAGAACAAATACGACCTGGATTCAGCTGGGGGTTGGTTGTTCAAGAGGATTCAGGGAGGTGGATAGTTGGTCTATGGTTGGAAGCAGGTATGCCTTGAAGAGCGCATTGAAGTTACGTCAAACTTGAGGTTACCGGCGGATGCATCACTCAAATGTCACATCAGCAAATTAGTTTGGAAGGAAGAAAAGCAGAAGTTCTCCGTACTCGATGAGGCACCAGGTCCGACCTGTTCAATGAGGCACCAGGTACACCCTGCAAACCCTCTTCTAGCAGTTCGATCAGCCCAAAGCCGTGCCAGCGCGATGCCGGTCAGGGGGCAGCCACGAATTCTCGCTACTTCAAGAAGAAGGTCAGTGCTGACCTCAGCAGCTCACTGTGATGTCGCGGGGAGCACTTGGCTGGAGACATGGACCAAATCCTTCCAGTCCACTGTGTAGAATTTTGCATAATCTCCTGGCCAGGGTGGCCGGGCTAGAGATGGCCCCGCGTCGATGGGGTCAACGCCACGTTGCCAAGGAAAGCTAATTAGTCCACCCGTGAGTCCTACCTTGCTGCTCTCAGCCTTTCAGGAGGCGCCGGGGGAGGCGTTGTTTCGACTCCTAATAGACTCGCGGGAGGCGAGAGACCAATGCATTCTGTAGATGTATGTCTATGTTCTCTCTTGTTTGGTTGTTTTGCATGCTTGTGGGGGGGCCGTCCTCCAGTGGAAAGTCATGTGTGGATGGAAAAGCACCACAGGTGAGATCGTCAGCCACATGAATATGTCTAATCTCTATGTAGGCAAAAGGCAGCTAATTGACTCAAACCAACAGATCACCCTGGTCGCGCAGGTTGATGTGTCGTTGATAGGTTTCCAAGGGTTTTCAGCTGAATTTCAATGCCAAAAAAAATGAATCGGAGCACCCAGGTTTGGTCGTATCTTTTTCAGTCTTTATTAGACCGTCCGGAGTGCAGCGGAACTGCAGATGAGCACTGATGGGCTCAACAACTCCTTGGACGAGGTCGCCGAGGACGAGGACATCGTGGAGAGCTCAGGGGCGATCCGGTGGCAGCTGTGGCGGCCATGGATAAACACTACATTGACATGACACTCTTGTCGGGAAGGGTCCTGCCTAGAGGAACCTGGATCCCCCAAAATCTGTATATAATATATATATATTATACTATACTATAAATATACAAAATGTTGGAATTAAACATTAAGTGGTTTGCTATTCTAGTCTTGTTCATCGATGGGCAACCCGGGGCAAGTGTGGAAACCCGGGATTGGCTGAATCAGCCTGGGGTACTGACCTTCGGTGACATTCTGTGCTTTCGTTTCGATTGTCTCCTTTCGGTCACCGGTCGCGGCTGAGAAGGGCATAGAGGAGCCTGGGAAGGAGCGATCTAGGTCAATGGTTCCTCCAGGTAGGAAAACCTGGCAGCCGCATCGCAAGGTAAGTGACAAGGCATGACACTTGGATTCCGAAGCCAGATGGTCCATGTGATGTGTGAAAGAGATCCACTACAGGAAGAAACATATCAAGCTGCTGATTTGTTGTGACTCTTGTGGCCAGTTTCTCAAGATTTGAATGTTGGAGAGAATGTCACCCTGATTGGATTTCTTTGGCATATTCTTTGACGATTTTGATGGTCCGAGGGGGAGCAGGAAGGGGCTCCACAATGTTCCTGTTTAATTCTTTGGTGACCCATGATAGTGACCATCGTGGACTGATCATGGACCATGTTGTGCAAAGCGATTAGCAAAGCGCAGCAGATTCACAGGGTGAGCCGGCGATTTTCAGCATGGCTGTTAGAGCAATTGCTTCTCTGCAGCGTCTGACCCTGTGAAACATGTACTCTACTACTCTCAAAGAAGCTCTAGAGCCATTCAATGCATGTGGTTCGTTGGGGAAGTTTCAATAAAATCATATAAATCATATAAAACAATATTACGATGTTGCCAGAGCGTAGTCTAATTTGGTTGGTTGGCTGGATATATTTGAGCAAATTATTCTCCCATGGGCTTGGGAGGTCACTTGAGACCCACTGTGCTTGTCCAACAGCGAAGCTGGGACGGCGACATGTCGCCAAAGATCATTGGGACTGCATGTCCGGTAGCGAGGAGAGTAGTGAGTAGTATGGATCGGTGCACTTTGTTTGAAACATCAGATGAATCCGCCTCAGGATGGTGTATGGTTGTGAGTTTTGTGGATGGGACGATGATTTTAGAAGAATGATGATCTTCACTATTCATCACTATCTTCACTGTCCATGCAATCGTCGATGCTTGGCTCTAAACGGAACAATGTTATTGTATGATGAACAGTAAGTTTTGATCATGGAAAGCATCCTGGATCAGTTGGATACATAATATGTACTTTGTAAGTGACGTTTGTAAATAGCAACATGGTCTCTACTAGCGCACTTGTCATGATATCTTACTTTAAGACTATCTACTACGTAGGGGCACTGCATAAGTAACCTTCCCGCATTTGGCATTCGCGCTCCTCTAGCCCACTTGAATGACCCTTCGAAAAGAGAAGCTAGCAGCTGTTGTTTCCCGTGAGTAACTTGAGTTTTTGTTTGGCCAGGCTGGCCAGAGTGCAAGCCCTGATTAGAATCTTTGTCGTTGCAATGGATGCTTTAAGGCCATCCAGCCCGCAGCAGTGGCCAAAGTTGTCATGCCGCAAGAACGCTGTTTCGCTTGCGGGAGGGTACAAACGAACCCGCATTGTTTGGAATAGAACCCTTGGTACGGAGATGTAGAACCATTTCATAATCATTCTGGTATATTCTGGTAGCGTTTATTTAAATCTCCACAGTCAACGTGGGCTGCCTAGCATGTGCGTTGTTGGCACCACGCAAGGGCTGAGAGTGAATCCAAGTCTCACTCACATGCCGTTCCAGTTTATGTGCGCGATATACACTTCCCAGAGCCAGTTTCTGGTCAAAGTTCAAAGTCAACTACCCCTCAGCACAAGTCAAGCAAGGCCTAATGTCTTGTGAAGAGCATTCCTGAGCAAATGTTGTTGGATTGAAATCGAACAGCTTCCGGGGCGGAATGACCTGAAGCCGGCCTCATGACCCAGGCTTCCCGGGAATTGCTGCTTGAGAGCGGAGTGTTGGGAGATTGTGCACCTAGAAGGAGGGGTTGGGGATAGGACGTTGTCTCAGAAGCATGTCAATGTCAGTGTGACAACCAACTCGACTGACCTTCAATTTGAGGATGTTCCTTGCCAAGCACATTGTTGGTATTCCAAGTCGGCATATGTTGGCATTGGTTCTCCTCATCCAAGGTGCTATGTGCATGTCTATCGCGTATGTAGTAGGTGGGCTTGGGTCAAACCTATATATATATATATATAGGTAGTCCTTTTGTAGAAGCTTTCACCCAATCCCCAAACCATCCCTTAATTTAATCCCTTCTCAGGCTTTTGTTGTTTGCATCCACTTCTATGCAGGGATCGCGAGGATGCGTCGGCGTCGACCCACATGAAGACCGTTTTTGTGACACAGATGACCTCAGCAGGCACTGCTTTTGCACCGCAGGCGCTCGTTGGGAACGGTTTGAGCGAGCAGCCCAAATCCTAGCCGTGAATATGGACATCAAAGGTTCTCAAGGATGGCTGAAGACCGTGTCGGGCTGTGGACGATAAGGATTTCCTTTACCCAGCAATATTTCCTTTATATACCAGCTCCTGTAGGTTTGCTGGGATGGACAACAGCGTCTGCTGCAGATGTGCCACACTGCGAGCTCGATGTCGCTGTTCCATGCTTCGTTGGCACCAAGAGTTGTCCAACTCCAGGCGTCGATTTCGATGCGGTGGTGAGTTCGGACCCAATCATTGCTCCGTTCGGGTCGTGGTACGGCCAGGGTCACCCCGTTCGTTGCATCCAATCACTCCGTTCGTAGTGGTATGTCGACGCATGTGTTGTGCATCATTCATGATCATTCCATATCATTCCGTTGGTATTTTCACCTGTTTCGTCGTCAATTTTTTTCTCCATCCCTGTGCGCGGCCATCTCAAATGACTGAGTGCGGGAAATGGTGCAATGTCTCCCATGACCCTCGGCCACTCACGTCTGCACGGGGTTCACTTGCCACGGGGTTCACGCGCGCCTTCGCTTCAATCGTGGGAACCTGAGGTTTAAAGAGCTGCTGCGGAGGAGGGAGCCCATTGAGCCGCTCGGATCGCGTGGATTTCGAGCTCTCCAAAAGTGGTGTTTTTGGGTTCTTCTTGGGGGGCTGGAGGGGGCAGTCCAAGTGATCGGGTGTCGTGGTGTCGTGTAGGAGAAGCAAAACTGACGTCGGGATTTGGGGGTACCAAAACAAGGATTTGTCATGATGCTTGAGGGGAGTGTTTGAGGTTTGAGGATCATCCCAGGTTGCAGTTCTCACATGTTCGATCGACTAAAAAGTTTAAGCATAATGCATTATCGTGTGTCAGAACGTGAGTAGTGTTGAAAGCGTTGAAACATGTTGAAACCATGACAAGCAATGCGACAATGAATCGAATCAAAGCGCATGCACCTCCATTGAACTTTTTGAACATGTATAGATGTTCGATCAATCGACTGTCACTCACCTTCTATTTCGCAAACGGTCGCGCCAGTCCAAGACAGAGCGGCTGGATCATCAATCTATCGAGTGGAGTAGGAGAGCTCTCCAACTCCACGGTGCTGAACTCCGTTGGCCCTAAGGACCTTGGTCACCAACGGAGAATCGCGGAGAATTTGGGTGTGGTGCCCCGGAGCCACGGCGGCTCCGTTCCGGCAGTGATCCGGTACACTGGGGGGGGATGTGTGATGATGTGTGTGTGTGGCTACTGATGTGTGTGGTGGGGAAGTGTGTCACAAAACTCTCCACATCCCTTTCCAGTTATGGCTTTCACTCCCTCATATCGTGTGTGGAGAGTTCACCAGATTGTTCACAAGTTTGGTGCATGGTTGCCTGGTCAATTGGGTCTGAGGGCTAAAAAGGATCAGAAGCAGCTCAGTGCCCTGTGCTGGTCCGACCAGCGCAGACCAGTTCAGTGGCAGACTCCAAGCGACGCTGTTTGTCCTTGAAACAGGTTGCCGCTGTGCCATTCTTTTTTTGCGGGGTTGTTTGGGATTGGGAGGCGACAGGTAGACATTGTTCGAGGCCAAAGAAGAGCGTCCCTCCTATCAAGCGGAAGAAGTTGAGAAGAGGCTGGTAGGATCTGGGAGATTGTGATCTCTTGTACCTTTGTTTCTGAACGAAATTAGAGACCGACTGAGGCACTGTCATAATGTCCCTTTAGCAGCTGTTTTCTTGCAGCTTTTGTCAATATGGAACTATGATGTTGTGGCATTTATCCCCACATCTACTGCCTGCACAACTGGACGCTACGGACCCAAACCCTCCGCCACATTCCGCGACAGCCTTGTTTGCCCCAAAATCGTTCTGCGCCAAATCATTTCAAAAATGCGTGCCCAATGTGAGACCAAGCTTCGTTGACGCCGTGCATTCCCTTGCGCCCCGCTTGACCCGGGGTCGGCGGATATCCCTTGGTTGCAGGATCATCGAGCCGCAAGCGCTTGAGAATGCTTTGGCCAAGGAGTTCTTGCCGCCGCTTATAGTGCCAAGCTCAGCCGGTGACCAAACTGTTTGACTTACGCATCTAGTTTCCACAAAGGATGCCAAGAAATGCTATTGATATTGTGTTTGATACCACTGCATGAAACAGATATAATTGAGTCAATTGGATTCAATCAGGTTGACCTGATGTAGAAGCATCCCAACAACCCACCGACTCTCGCCCGAACCTCGCCACGTCAACCGAGGTTCGGGTCTTGCCGGCCACGCAAGATCTCACTGTGGATGAGACCACGGTCTATGCGAAGGAGGTGGGGGGAGGTGGTCTAGGACTCATGGGGATGGATCGCATGGATGTCGCTCATGGGTTTGGGATGTCCCTGACTTCCATATCGATCAGCTGTATGTTGATGTGCTGTCCGCATGTGCACAGGGGTCACAGGTTTTGGGGTAGAGTTACTGTACAGAATGCCAAGAGAATGGTGGCGGGATTGAGGGTCATCCTTTAAAGAACAACCATACGGTTGAATCTCCTTTCGTTTGTCGCTCACTTTGGCTCTCAAGACCACCTTCAGCAGCCCATACACCTTTTCGCGTCAATATGTATATAATTACAGTGATCGTAAGTAAGTATTTGTTCATGCATGTAAACCATAATATGTGTTATTGCTTTGCTTTCAAGAAGTCCCCGCCGCACAGCTGCCGGCTGACCCCGGTCTGCGGCACGTTTCGCCGTTTTGCCCATGCCGACGGATGGAGGGACTCCCTTGTTGGATGATGATGTGGAGTGTTTCGGCGTTGTTGAGCCAGTTCAGCCTTTGGGTCTTTCACTCACAGAAGACTGCAGCTTGTGACATAGAATGACTGCATGTGTGAGTCAATGTCATATGTGTGGGGTGGAATTGCCAAGGTACATTACATGAGGAGGAAAGGTTCAACATGGTTCAACCATTCAACCACTTCTTTCATCTCTAAAAGTGTTGTTCCAATCTCAAAGCTCCTTCCAAGGCTGGGCGCCTCAGCCCCTGCGTTGGAAGAGATGCATCCATCAGCTCCGCCTTCTGCCATGACACAGGGCGAACTCAAGGAGTTGATCCAAGCGCCCCTTTGGACTAAGAACCAAACAACGGACGGAACTGTGAGGGCGGGAGAGGTACAGGCAAGACGGGGTCTTAATGTTGTGTCACTGCGCAAAGTGCGGAGATTGAGCACGAGTATGATCAAGGATCTTCATGTATCTTGCAAATTCCAGATAGGAATTGAAGGCTCTTATTGGTGCACCAATGAATGTGTAGAACGTTGTTTCGGGCACACATCCAGTGCGACAGGCTGTGGTGGAAGACCCTCGTTGTGCGGCTAAAAGCGAATGAGAGACATGCCCCTCAATGCCAAAGCAGCCGACTGAAATTTGGATGTACTGTAATTAGACAGTATTCAAGGATCCTTCAATCAACAGGCAGCCTGCCTGTAAGTTGGTCGTCACCACGGCTTAATGTTGAGTTTTGCCCTGTTCCACGCAGAGGTTTTGGTCCCCCTATAGGATGCATGCTGTGGTCGAGTCTAAGTAGGACCCTAGTAACGATGGCCTCCACCCTAGTAGCGATGGCCTCCTAACACTGATTTTGGTATTCCAAGGCTGCCTCCTGGCCATGCAGATTTGCCCAGTGAGCAAGCGCTGCGCCCTTCGGCGTCCATAGTTGGAAGACCCACACGTGGGTTTGGCGAAGGGAAGAATGGTCAGAAGGCAACACTGTTGCATAAACAATTCTTAGCCACTGCCACAGCTTAAAACTGAGGAAAAAAACAACTCAAAGCACCGGTTAGTTCCCCAAAGAACTTCAAGCCACCAGACTTACAGAAATCGTTTTTAAGCTCCTCGCTGCGATGGACCAAGGAAGCTTCCGGACGGCCACGGCGGGAAAAGTGGTTTGGGCCGAGCAGATGAGAGAGATCGCTTCGACGGCCGTTTCTTTGGCTTGGGAAACGGGCCAAGGATCATGCGGGATGTGATGGGGAGGTGGGATCATTGGAAAACTTTGATGGAGTAGTTCAAGTAATTACTCAACTACTCCATGGATTACGGACGACTGCAGTTGAAAGGGAGCATGGGAGCATTCGGCACTTGAGAAGTAGAACAGTTGCGTCAAAAGATTTGGATGATTTCTGATTGGATTTCAGACTTTGAAGAATTGATGGATGTAATTTACATGGAAAAATGTCCGTTTGAGGGGAACCTCCCAGGCCCTCCCTGCCTCGCATTTGCCTCTCACAGGGCCGGCCTGGTGGGTCCCGCCCCAGGCTGGTGGATCCCACTTCTTCCGAGAGGCCTATGAGCGTCAGAGACTTGGTCTAGAATGAGGCTCTCTTGTGAGAAAGGACCATACCAGCCAGGCAGGCACATGCGTTGCTGGGAATGGAACGGAATGCCTTTTGATGGGGAGACCAGAGTTTGAAAATGTTTGAACCTTTGGTATGAATGTATTTGCTGGAAAAAGAAGGATCTCCAGACTGGGAAGGCTTAGACATCCGTGGATCCTCCAGACACAGTGTGGCACAAGGTATAGAAAATCCGACGTCGCCTACCATTCGCCTCGCCTCTACCGTGGAGTCTCCCGTCGCCCGTGGATCCTGCAAGGTTCATCTTGGATCCCGAGACCCTTACAGCAGCAGATGGGCGCCCTGGCACAGGCGTTCAATATAGGTTGCGTGTGTGTGGGAGCCCTAAACTACAGGGTTCATGAGTTGTTTTTGTAATCAACAAGGGACCCCCATAGGAACGCGGTTCATCAATCCATGCTGAATGGCTGGATCATATTAAGTCTTTCGAGCCATGCAGTCTGCCCCACGTCTGCCAAAAGCAGTGCAGAATGTTTGTCGTCTCAATACTTACTGGGGACCGTCCGTCACCTTCGGCATCCTTCGGCCCCTGGTTGAACAAGGCGAAGTCGGCGAAGTAGAGTCATTCCTTGAACAAGCAGACCTCCATAGATGCTTCAACCTTCCCTCCTTCAGGTAGCATCCTAAAAACATCGAAACTGGCCAAAGCCCTTTTGGTTGATGCTGGTTGCCAAAAAAACAGGAAACATTATATATCACCTGACTGGTGCATGTTTTCCGAAAACCCACCGCCCACCGATGGTCGTTCCATTCATGGCCATTCTCATGTGTCGATTGCCGGAGCTTCCCAGACTTGAGGCCTTGGGCGGAGTTGATTCCAAGCGCACCTCCCGACACGGGTGCAACTCCTGGTGTGGATGGAGCACACGCTGCACAAGCGCTGTTGAATCAGTTGGTGGTCCGAAGCCCGGGCGTCGTCCGTTGTGATGGGTTTTGCGCCAGAGGTGTCAAGAAAATCGGAGACAAGAGCAGAAGGAGAAACTATAGAGATCTATAAAGTCGATTGCAACCCTTGGTACCTGGGTATGACTTTGTTGGGCTCACAGATGTGGAAACACCTGCAGCAGTCTATGAAGATTTGAAGCTCTATCCCAGTAAGAACCTTTGTTGCAACAAAGCAGCTGCAGCTGGAAGCGCAAAGATTGACTTGGGTGCATCAGTTGATGCCTTTCCAATCAGCTGCTTGTGACACATTGCAACTGAGATAGACTCTAGACCTTCAAGATCGTTTCCAACTCAGACCTTTGTGAGGTGATCCGCTTCGATGGGTGCATCGCCAACATCTCAGTGCCCTTGGCTTGTGAAGAACATGGAAGCTTTGGACAGTGGGTTGAGGCATCCTTACACTCCCTTCATCCATCTTCATCTTGATCTGTGGGTCATCCACTGGGTCATCCTGTTTCTCACCAAATAGATCCAAAGCTGTTGGTTTCAAGTTGCAACACCAGAAGTCCCAGGAGCGACCGCATGTTTACAAAACACCGTTGTGACCGAAAAGCACACTGAGAGGTCAATTCCGCCCAGACCTGGTTGGAGATCGGCCACCAAGCAGCCTCGCGCTTTGGAAACGTGGTCTTTGACCCACTGCGTCATGAGCTCTTGGGGGTGGGCCAAGCGAAAGAGAAGGGCTTGCAGGTGGGGAAGGGGGTGGGGAGGGCCAAATTCTGGAAGGTGTTTCCATGTGTTTTCGGATATCACGAAAGGTAGCCTGGTAAGGACTACCTTGAGTTTGCTTTGCGAAGCAAAGGGACTGGCTTGAGAGCCTGCTCGGGACTAATTCTGGACACACCATCACACCATAGGGTGAAGTCATGCGCTTAGCAGTCACAGCAGTACCACGCTGGCCATGAGGTTGCGCAATACAGCACGAACCCTGCAGAATGAGGTTGCGCAATGCGGCTTCGATGCCGCGCGCGCGCACCCGGCAACCTGACACAGCGCGTACTACCATATTGCTCGACACCAACGAGCATCGATGCAATACAGCCTCTCTGCAAAGCCCTGTGCAAAAACTTCTCGCTTCGCGGAGCGCCATTCGACTCAGCCTTATACCCTAGCGTGGCGACATCGTACCGCATCGTGGAGCACCACTACACAGCTATTTACGCACCCTTCCCATCAGCCACCCACCATAGCGTGACGTCCATCCCTGGCAGTACCGGCCGCACCCCTCCAGCACTATCCTTACAAGGGGTTGGTCACTGCCACTTCGACGCAACGCGTGCAGGCCTGTGTCCTGACACAGTGCGTGCAGCTGTGGGACCATAGCTGGTACACATGCGAGCGTTTACGCATTGTGACTTTTACGCGCGCCTGTTTTCACACACCTTTACGCAAACGAGCGTCGACGCAACGCAGCCTCTCTGCAGAGCCGTGTGCTGCAATCTGACCGCAACGGTGTTCCTCTTGAGCCTTCTTGTGCTCTCTGGCTTTGTTGGTTTTATCCATGATTGACCAAGGGGAAGGTTCCTGAAACACCGGAGACAGTCCCTCACCAGAAAAGATCCCGACAGCTACCTGGTCCGTCTCTACCTTTCATGTTTCCCCGCTCAAGTCCAACTACCAGTCGATCCCGAGGATGAATACGATATGTTTGTTGCGGATGTATGTTGTCGAGTTCGGAGAGGTTGCCGGATCTGTTCCACGGATCCATCCGCACAAACTTCCAGGCGGGTCAGACGGTGAAGATCACGGCGGTGGTGAACCGTGCGGAGCTCAACGGGAAGATTGGACGGATCGTGCGGGTCAACGGGGACGAGTTGGATGTGGCCTTGCCGCATGGCGCCCCGCACAGCACCCGGAGTATGTTCGTCGGTCGGTCGGACACTGACTGGGCGGGTGACGAGGAGCCCATGCTGTTCGCTGGAGCCCATGCAGCTGACGACTGGGGAGATGTGGGGAGGAGGGTTTCAGG